TATATATATTTTTTTTTTTTTTTTCTAAAAGATATGTAGAATATAGTGATTCTTTATTAGTAGCCTGCTCCATTTGGAGAAGAATCAGTCAAGGCCACCGTCCGGCCTTTTATTCAACAAATCAAGAGTCCAAAAACATAAACCTACAAATAAAATCGTAATTTCTCTTTGATCTTTTCATATCCAACATTATTAAATTTCAAATTTAAAAAAAAAACACCCGTTAACACCATCACAGTTCCATCGTCTCCATCACAGATTTCCCTGCAACTCGAAGCAATCAATTTAATACCAATCTTTGGTAGCTTTTATTTCAATTCATGGACCCACCCCACTACCTCTCACAAAACCCATAATCTTTCCTTTCAAGTAACATGAACATCAATCCTTTTCTTTCCACCACCTAATCAAACCCCTTATTCATCAATTCGATTCTCACAATTTGTTTTCCCTCAACCAATTTTCTGGGGTTTAATTACACTTTCTTTGTGTTCAAGAACACTAAAAATAAAAGGTTTATAAAATGGTTGGGGCGGCGAATGGTGGTAGAATGCCACCACGGCAGATTTTTTCCGTTGTTAATGGCGGTCAAGATCCTGTTATCCGGGTCGGGCCAACAAGCAATGCGGGTTCGGATTGTGGAGCGATTGAATTCACTAGGGAAGACGTTGAATCATTGTTGCATGAGAAAATCAGAACAAAGAATAAGTTTAGTCTAAAGGTTAGTTTTTTAATTGTTCTTTTTCTTCTTCAACTTATGTCGAATTTGGAATTGATTTTGTGGCGTTTTTAGGAGAAATGTGATTCGATGATGGAGTATATAAAACGACTCAGAATATGTATCAAATGGTTTCAAGAACTTGAAGAGAATCTTTTGTTAGAGCAAGAAAAGAATGGGAAGATGCTGGAATCTGCAATAAATAGATGCAACGATATGGGTATAAATAATAATAATAATAATAATCATACTTTCAAGAACATCTTTTTTATAATTTAAACTAATTTTTTATGTTTCATTGGTTGAAGAATTGCTAATGAGCGAAAAGGAAGAAGAACTGAATTCGGTAATCATGGAGTTAAGAAGGAATTACACAGCGCTACAAGAGAAATTCGCAAAAGAAGAATCAGATAAATCGGTATTATTTGGATCTTGAAAATTAATATTTAAAAAAAATTATTTAATATTGTTAAAAAAATTAATATTAGGCGGCAATGGAAACATTAACAAAGGAGAAAGAAGCTAGATTGAGTGCGGAGAGATTACAAACTTCAATCAAGGAAGAACTCGAAAGAGCTCAAAGAGAAAGTAAAAGTGCTAATCAAAAGGTAATATAGATGATCTTTAATGAGATTGGATTATTTTATTATCTTATTATATAGATGATGTTGATTTTTTATTTATTTTTTGGTTTTTAGATATTATCACTCAATGATATGTATAAGAGGCTGCAAGAATATAACACGAGCTTACAACAATACAATAGTAAGCTTCAATCTGAGCTTAATCAAACGAATGAAATCCTCAAGAATGTTGAGAAGGAGAAGGTTGCAATGTTGGAGAATGTTAGCAACTTAAGAGGCCATTGCACTTCTTTGCAAGATCAGTTGAATGCTACAAAAGTCGGTGTTTTCTATAGTTGATTTTTCTGAATTAGTTTTTCGTATCTTAAACCCTATTTATTATGCATGACATGACAATACAGTTTGGTATTAGAAACAAAAAATTAATAAAACAAAATTTTCGCCCCAACCAAAAAGTTGATATAAGGTGGGATAGAAAATTACTATACACCTTTCTTTTGGAAAGATATGAGAAAAAAGTAACATTTTTTCTCACCTAAAAATAGTGAGACAAAAAATTACTACTTTTTTCCGTATAAGACAATAGATTAAAATCAGAACAAAAACAACACTTTTTTTGTCATCCAAAATGGTGAAGGGGGAGAGAGTTGGATTTTTTTTAATTAAGTTGGTGTAACAAAAAAATTGATATTGTTGTCCCACTCACAAACAACACATTTTTTTTTTCACAAAAAAAAAAAAAATGAAATAAGTTGGGTCAAAAAATTGTTACTTTTGTCCGATTGTGCATTGGATTGAAAATCGAGGACAAAAACAAAAAAAATTGTCCCACCCAAAAAGGCGAGACAAAAAATTGTTATTTATGTTCATGAAAAACACAATTTTTTGTCCCACTTAAAGAGACCTTTTTTTAATCTCTTATGTCATAAATGTCCTCCTTATCATCATCATAAAAAATAATCCTAGAAAACTTGTTTAGTTTTGTACGATAAGTCCCATATAACAAACACAATCTTTATCAAACATATTCTCAATCTATGTTTTAATTTTCAGGAAAATACCAACGAAACATTGAAGCAAAAAGACGAATTGGCAAGTGAAGTAGGGCACCTAAGAATGGATTTACAACAAGTGAGAGATGATCGTGATCGCCAGTTGTCAAAAGTAGAAGATTTATCGAAAGAAGTTTCAAAATATAAAGAATGGAGTGGGAAATCATCGGATGAAATAGAAAACCTTACATCAAGTTTATTATCTTCACAAGCCATTTGTTCCTCACAAAGTGATCAAATAAAGAAATTGCAACAAAAACTTACTGCAACAGAAAGTAAACTAGAGATGTCTGATGTATCGGCATTTGAGATAAGAACAGGTTATGAAGAACAAAAGAAAATTAACTCCGACTTACAACTTCGTTTAGCTGAGGCAGAATCGAAACATTATGAAGGAGAACTCTTGCGTAAAAAATTGCATAACACAATTTTAGTGAGTTCCAATTTCTATTTAATTCATAAATTTATTTATATAATGGTTAACGAGTTTTTTAATTTTGAAACAGGAATTGAAAGGAAACATACGAGTTTTTTGTAGGGTGAGACCTTTGTTGTGTGATGATGATGGTGACAATGAAACAAAGACGGTTTCTTTTCCTACAACAACCGAAGGTCTTGGCCGAGGCGTTGAGTTATTGCAAAATGGTACTTTAAAGACTCTTATCTTTCAAATTTGATTGCACATTTACAATTCAATGCAAGAATTAGCAAAGTAGTATGCTTTTTAATGAAGATTAAAATGAAAGTACATTGCAATTTCTTGCATCTAACCCTTATGTTTAACTCTTCGTATTATAATTTTCTATGTTTCTTGTTAAAAAAAAGGGAAAAAGCATTCTTTTAGTTTTGACAACGTATTTGTGCCCGAATCGACACAAGAAGAGGTGTTCGAGGAGGTCTCGCAGCTTGTGCAAAGTGCACTCGATGGTTATAAGGTGAAACAACATTGCTTTTTAGTGTGTGTGTGTAATACATGTTAATTATAATAACAAATAAATTAAAAAGTACATTGCTATTTAAGGTTTGTATCTTTGCTTATGGCCAAACGGGGTCAGGAAAAACTCATACAATGATGGGTACACCGGGAAACCATGATGAAAAAGGATTAATACCGCGATCTTTGGAACAAATATTCGAGTCCCGAGAAACACTTCAAAATCAAGAGTGGAAGTATGAAATGCAGGTTTGGAATCAATTTCCTTGTTTTTCTTGCTTAGACGATTTATTATTATTATTATTATTATTTAAAAAATGGGGTTTATAGGTTTCGATGTTGGAAATATACAATGACACTATACGTGATTTATTGTCAACAAACCGAAATTGTTCAAATGAGTCGGGCAAGTATGCAATTAAACATGATCCAAATGGCAATACACATGTCTCTGATTTGACCATTGTGGATGTCCGTAGCAGTCGAGAAGTTTCATTTTTGTTAAACCGTGCTGCACAAGCCAGGTATTTTTATGATTTCTCTAACAAGACGTAACATAACAAGTTGTACTGATTGATATCAAAAAAGACCAAAAAAAAAAAAAAAAGTACCTTTTTGTCCTACTGATGAGACAAGAACTTGCTAAATTTATGAAAATGACTATTTTACCCTCGGCTTGTTTTTCTTATTTTGTGAGGTGTACATGTGTTTCTTGATTAGGTCCGTGGGTAAGACTCAAATGAATGAACAATCGTCGAGAAGTCATTTTGTGTTCACTTTGAGGATATCAGGTGTTAATGAGGTAAGGGTAGTTTCGGGTTTTCAAAATTCCATCTGGTATTGTATTAGCTAATTGGTTAATGATCGATGAAATCTTGTTTTGCATTGTAGAACACGGGGCAACAAGTGAAAGGTGTTCTTAACCTAATCGATCTTGCGGGAAGTGAACGTCTTTCCAAAAGTGAATCAACTGGGGTTCGATTAACAGAAACTCAATACATCAACAAAAGTTTGTCGTGTTTAAGTACTGTTATATTTGCATTAGCAAAGAAGGAAGAACATGTGCCTTTTAGGAACTCCAAGCTTACGTATCTCCTCCAGGTATAATGAATTCTGGTTTTGTTTATATTGGTTTTGGGTTTCATGGCTGAAATTGATCGGAACTTGTTGTTCAGCCTTGCTTAGGTGGGGATTCGAAGACTTTGATGGTGGTGAATGTTTCTCCGGCAGCTAGCTCAGCCAATGAGTCACTTTGCTCTCTCCGGTTTGCCGCTAGAGTCAATGCTTGTGAGATTGGAACACCTCGCCGGCAAACCTCTTTCCGGCAGGTGGATGGTCGCCTCAGCTATGGCTAATGACGAGGCAAAAATCGTAATTATCAAACCTAATTGAATTTTCGAAACCCTAACAAGTTTGTTTGCAATCGATGTGTATATCAGAAGATTGAAGAAAAGTAGTTAGCTTGAATGAACGGAATTTGATTGAATAGATTTTTGGACATGTATTTTAGTAGTTCCATTTGCAAAGATGTTTCTATATGTTTGTGTTTATTCTTGATTTACTATCGTTAATGCATACAAAGTGAAAAGATGACAGTTTTATATTGCATGATCTTGGAAAGATTCCGGTGATTTATTTTCCAATTTTTGTGTGGCTGTTATTGTCCCACGTTTATGGCTTATATATCTGATCTTTTGCTCAAATCTACAGACTTTTTTCTGCTTTCAGAAAGAACAAAGATGACAACTAATCTCCCAAATTTTCATTTGAGTCCTTTCAAATATCATTCAATTCAACCCCATTTCAAATTTTCGATTGCTTCATCAAATTCCCAAATCATAAAACCGAAAAAGATTCCTCTTTTGTTATCCATTCAGTGTAATCTCTCTTCTCCACCCAAATCCAAAGAGGAAGCTATACGTCAAGCAAAAACATGTCTTTCGTCGACCTTAGAGAAACCTCTCAACAACCTAAAACTTACAGCCGGTAAACTCAAGAAACTAAAGCAGCCCAGATTTCGTGTCGAAATCCCAGTCAATGATGACTCTCCCGATTCCTTATCACAGCTTGCACTCCAAGTGTTCGATGAAATGCCCATTAAGAGAAAGGGCTCTAAAGTGAAGATTCTAATACTATGGCCCAATTCTTTCCTAACAGAAGCTGCAAATAGAGTCGCGTTTGGGTCAGTTGAGCATGTCGACATTTCTTCACTAAAAGATGGGGGAAACAGAGTTTTGAGCTCTGCTGACGTGGCAGTATTTTTGACACCAGAAGCTTCACAAATGGAAGTGATGGAAACAATCACTAACAGTCTGTACCCAAAGCCAGTGGTGATATTCAACCCTAGATGGAGTTATGAAGATGAGGAAAGCATTCTTGGTGATTTTGTTGACTTTTTGGGATCTTTTGAAGTGATTTATTCGTTTATGGGATTGGAGGTTAGAGGGCTATTGAGTAAGAGAAATGGTGTGGTGTTTAAGTGTGTGAGAGATGGGGTTTTGAGTGGTGAGAAGTGGAGTGTGCTTGTTGAAGAAGAAGAAGGAGAATTGAAAGTAGTTTCAAGATTCAAAACAAGACCTTCCATTAATGAAGTTGAGAATGTTCTTTATAATTTGATGGCTATTAACTCTCCTATTACAAAGTCTGCAAAGTTCTTGAAAGGATTGGTTTCAAATGTAACTGGAAAAAAGTAAGTCTAAACTAAAGGGTTGTTTTTTTAAGAAAAAAAAAAAATCCTTATTTGATTACTTTTGATAAAGGAAAAAAAAAATGTGTAAAGTGGATGAGAATGCTACTTATATCTCAAATCACCGAATTCGAAAAAAATTGAAATAAAAAACTCTTATGGTTTCATCTATACATAAAATATTCGCATATAATCATTCATGTACATGTTCTAAGACGCTCTAATGTTGCATGACTTGATGAATTTATCTGAAAAGTTGACATACTTTGACCATAATGCCCTTAGCTCTGGAAAAGCTATATCTAACCATGGTTTAGCTCGACCATTGAAATGGATGACTGCAGCCTTTTGAGCATCTGGTATGCTTGTATTCTCTTGGTACCCAAGGCCTAACATATGCCAAAACGGGTCAATAATATGGACATATCCATGAAATGCTATCAAACCCGGAGGTAATGTTCCTAGTTGCCACAAACTTAGATCCGATTTCAAATTCTACATGAGAAGAAAACAATTTGTTAGATTTCTTGAGGTGTATTCAATTTAACATTTATTGAGACATTATGCTTTGAAAAACATAATTTTTTTAAAAAAATCTACTTGGTGAAAATTGTTTTGTATATGGAAGACATTGCTATAATCATATAGATTTTTCAAAGTATAATGCTGTAATAGGAAGAAATGAAAGTAAGATGTTGCGATAAACAAATCAATGGAAGTAGGTTTCTTTATTTGTTTGAATATGGGTTACCTCCTCAAGCCAATAATGGTAATTGTTACTTATGTTGGTATTTCTCCAAGCTTCAAGGTCAAATATGTTCATGCCATAGGCCCAAGCACATTCATTTGCATCAAAGTTATTTGATATCAATGAATGAGAAAAATTCAAGTAGTTTTTTAACCGTTTTGACATTACAAATTTGTCCTCTCCCCTACACGTTTCAACGGCTCCATTTACTTTTCCATTCATATCAATGTCCCAAAGAGGTGAAAGATCCGTTTGAACCACAAGGTCATCGTCTAGAAAGACTACCTTGTTTAAACTAGGAAACATCTGCAAAAACCAACATCCACAATCATATTTATATTTATATGGTTAATATAAGCCATTCAAATATTTCATCAAAAAAAGTTATCCTTCCAAAAACGCCTTAATTGACCCATATGAGCCAAAAGTACCATATGAGAGGAAAATCAAGTACATAATTGTCCGTAAAGGGCAACATAAAGGCCCAATCCAAATTGAAGTTAAAACTCTTATGTGACTTTAATTTAATGGCTAACATAAGGGACTAATGAGCTCAATCTAAGTTCGAACTAGAGCAAATTACATTTTTGTCCTTGAGTATAACTATTTTTTTTGCCATTTTTGTTATAAAAAGTTTTATCTTGCAATTTTGATATTTGTTTGAGATTATTGTAACGTTTTTAGTCCTTGCTATAAGTTAGATGACTATTTTTGGTTACTTTTTACAAATTTGGGATTGAAAATATATATAATATTTATTTGACTTGGAACAGGGATAAAAGATGTGATAAAAATCTTAAATAAAGACTAAAATTACAAGAAAAAACCTTTTAGGACCAAATAAGTAAAAAAAATTTAACTTTTAGGACCAAAATTGAAGTTTTATGGGGTTTGAAAAGCTTTTCATGAAACAATTCAAGAAATAAACAAATTATGAGATGGTGTTTAAAACTTTACCTCTGGCAAATAAATTCGAACATGGTTCATGAGCGAGTTATACTTGGGACTCATCGCCTGCAACTTTGCAGCAATAACATAAGGTTTCTCGGTCTTATTAGCAACAATGGCGGACGACCCACCTCTAAACTGAGCCCTAGCCATCTGATCTTTCTCCATAGCTTCCAAAACCGGCACTTTCCCCTTCGCAAACCAATCAAAATGATGCAACGCCTTAACCTCTATAACAGCCGGCGTTAATGGATGCAACGAGAACCACGCCTGCATCGGAGAGTAAGTCTTCCGATCTGTAATTATATGAACCACCACCGTTTCAGGGCGGAGGGAGTTGTAAACGAGCGAGGTGGCCACCACAGAGGCGGCGAGGATGTTGTCGGACGCGAGAACGAAGTGGAAGTATGAGTTGTCGACGAGTGCCGGCACGAGCTCCGGCGACGGGATCTGGCGGCGGGCGGCGGCGTTGGTAGCGTGCTCGGTGGCTAACCGGAGTGCGAGACAGTGGAGTTGTTTTGGGATGCTGCTGGAGGCGACATGGCGGTATAAGTATTCTTGGATTTTGGCTTTTCGAGTTCTTTGTTCAAGAAGGGTCACCTGAAAATTGAAGTCGGAATTGAAAATGTGTTAGTGTGTGTTTTAGTGTGTGTAGGAAACCATTAACGAATAACGATAACCAGTTAATCACCATGGATTTGAGCTTAATGGCGAAGGTTTTTGCGTCTGGTCTATTGTTGCCTTTCAAACTCGAAACAAAATCTTCTAAAGTTTGAGGAATGTCAGCTTCAGACCCTGCGGTTATGTCGTATTTACTAGAGGAGTCCTCCAAGATTTGGTATATTACTTCTGGGACCTTGAAGAAAAGCAGAAATAACTTTATGTTAAAAGGATGAATTGAACTATGAAAATTTATTTCACTTCGAGAAACAATTTGACGTATATGACACAGCGGTGGAGCCAGAAATTTTAATACGAGGTGCAACATAATCAAAATTTAAAATAATATTTGAACAATCAAAATATGGATAAAACATGAAGCCTCTTGAAATTGTATTTTTTAATAAAAGTTTTCGAATGGATGATGGAATACCAATCTTACTCTTGTCTCTAAACTCTCGGCAGTAATCGTTTGGATTCATTAGAAGGGGAAAAAAAGTAGACAATAAGATTTATGGTGCGTTTGGTTGTAAAAATTTTTATAGTTTTCTAGAAAAATTTTCCAAAAAAAAAAAAAACCGGAAATTTTGAAAACGCGTTTGGTTTGTTCAGTTTTCCAAAATTTTCCAAGAAAATGAAAATTTTCCAAGAAAATGAAAATTTTCAATTTTCCAAATTGTATGTAAATTAGAAAAGTGATTTTTACAGTTTTCCAAATGTTTAAGATGGAAAATGAAAACTCCCTCGGTTTCAACCAAACGTGTTTTCTAAAATTTTCATTGAAAATTGAAAGCGAAAACTTAACCTTATTTTCTGAAAACATTTTCTAAGAAAATGAAAACAGGTTACAACCAAACGCATCCTTAATATTTTTAGCTAGGGGTGCAACGTAGTTAAGCTTACTTACATATAGAAAAATAATATGTAAAGTTCAATATATAAAATTTATTTTAGGGATACAGTTGTACCCCAACCCCCATCTAGCTCCATCACGGATATAAACAAATGTTTGAACCAACAAGTGGATCATTACACATACAAAATAGCTACGCATTCAGAAAATCATATGTGTATGTAAAAGATTAGGGCTTAGAAAATTTACACTTGATTGAAGATTTTTACGTGGTCCTAGTTTCTTTCGTAGACAACCTGTCATTAGAACATGAAAATGTTTATATACTTATTTTATCATAAAATTAAGTTACATTGAGCTTTTTCGTACAAAGCATGATAAATTACAAAAATATCACCATTAAGGTTGTTCAAATCTTAATCATGATTATAGGATCGTACGATCGAACCCACTAAGATGATCTTAATTTTACTTAGGTCATTTATTGGTTTAATTGATACCGAATGGATTGTAAGTTTGTTAGATTATTACTATTTTTTATAAAAAAAACGATATTTTTCCTCGAATTACTAGGCATATACCCCTTTTGAATTGTTTATCGTTAAATGATGTATTAGATAATATATTTTTATGTTTTAACTATATATTGTTAATTGATAGATAAAAATATAAATCTTGTGTTTTAAAATTACGATCATGATCTAATAAAATAGAATTCTATAAGATCTTAATGTTGACAACTTTGATCACCATATTATAATATATTTTATCTAGGGTTATTAATTTGTTTATTGTTTTTGAATAAAAACCATAAACCATGCATTGATATTGCCATGCAAACAATTTAAACATGATAATCGATTAACATGGGTCAATGATAATGATTTAAATGGAAAAAATATCAATGGTATTTATGAATAAAGTTAAAGACCTTTTAGGTAAAAATATATTTTGATCATATAATGTTTTCTGGTTTTTATGTAATATGACCTCCATAGTATTAAGACCCGTGTTTTGAAAGTGCTTATACGATATTATATACTCAAAATCTTATCATTAATTGAAATAAAACGTGAGGAAATAATATTTCGAGGCGTTTATGCTGTTTCGAGTAGTAATAATTGATTAATTGTATTTGATATATTTTAATTTTTGTGGAACTAATTGATTTTTCTTTGTGATAATAAGTTCTACTGCAATTTGTATGATGATCATACAAAATAATTATTTAACAACTAAATAACAAGATAATGAGAAACAAAATATGGTTATCCAAATATCAAAGATTATCTATTAATAGTTTAAGGCTTCATATCATAAACTTATATTAATATTTTTAAAAAATATTTAAAAACATTTCAAATATCGAAAAGAATAATAATATTTGCTCGTAATCATAAACAACAGTCTTGCTTTTTGTGGTTTTATTATCAAAACATGAATGAAAAAATACGAAAAATATAATTCGCAAATTTATAAAAGTCGTTGATATATGATTTCTTTTTAGAAAAATGGAGTGTTTGGTCTGCATTGTTGATTGGTGATATTTGACCGATCTTTTACTGTCATATTTGTTGGTCTATCAATTCGATATTGGTGGACTTCAAAATAAGTTTACTTTTAATTAATATATAGATTAAGAATACTTTCAAAATTAAAAAGTACACTTAAGAGATGAGTATCTATTTGTTTGTAATTCTTGCTTCTAAAATAAATTAATCATATATCTATTTGTTTGTAATTATTGTCTCTAAAATAAATGAATCAACAATAACGGCGAATAAAGATCTATTTCTCATCATGTTATAGAGCCATCTAAGCATCTCCAAAAACGTTTAATGATCCAAACAGAAGACACAGAGTTTGATTATCATTTGAGAACTGAAAAACACAAATACAAAAATAGATATTTTTTTAAACGACATGCTACACAAAAGTTGAAGCATAAAATAATAAAAAAACGTACCGATGGAGGAGCATCTGGTTTGACCATCAATGGTATCGACAGCAGTCAACACGAACACAAACCGAAGAAGGAATGTAAAGAACAAAAGTGAGTAAAACACCATTCGATAAGACAACCTTCTTGATCCAACCTTCACTTTTATGAACTCCCTCACTCCTTTTCCAGGCAACACCGTGACATGTCTAAGACTTGGAGATATATGGAGTTGCATTTTCATCAACAGCAATATATCTATGAATGGAGTTAAGAGTATATATGTATATGTATGTAAATAGCTATAAAAAGTGAGGGTGATTAGTATTGTGGAGAGATGGAGAGGGAATAAATTGGCAAAGTACAAGGTGCGAAGGGGGAAATCTGTTGAGGGTTTGCCATCTCCTACCTAAACTTGCTTGAGGTTTAGGTTATTAATATATTATGGATGCATGTCATATGTATGTTTTAATGTTATTTTTTACTTTGATTTTGGAGGAATACGACATTAGACTAAGAATGAGGTGTGTTTGTTTCATCACTCTTTCACTTTCAAGATGCCAACACCCTAACTTCTATATATATATATAATATATATATATATATATATATATATATATATATATATATTATATATATATATATATATATATATATATATATATATATATAGTGGCAGATCCAAACCGAAGGTCAATTGGGGTCCGTTAGTGGGAGCGTTTTCCGACGACTTTAAGTAGTTTCAAGTAGTTATCGGCAACTGTAGTGGTTTTCGACACTTTCATGCGAGTTTGAGCAGTTTTGTGACTATTATTAGCCGTTTGCAGCGAATCAGAGTGTTTTCCGGTGACTTCCCGGTTGTATCTGACTTGTTTTCTTAGCGTATTTGAGTACACCGACGCTAGATTAAGCTAAAAATGAATGAATTTGTTATTTCTTGTTGCAAGTGGTGTCTGTCTTTTTGTAAAGTGGGGTCAATCATATATTTAATAACTATAGTTGCAAAGAAATTAGATGTATATAAAAGGTTTAGTCACTCCAAGTGGGGCCATACACCCCACTTCACAAAGGGTGGCTCCGCCACTATATATATATATATATATATATATATATATATATATATATTATATATATATATATATATATATATATATATATATATATATATATATATATGCTTAGGTTATTTTGTTTTTACTAATTCTTGTGTGGCATAATGCACAAATCTGGACCAAAGGATGGAATTTATCAATAGACATGATTTGAGAGTGTATGATATTACAATGAGATAACATGTACCATATAATCACACAAATTTTAGCAAAAGAGTATTTTGGACAATTAACTACAATTATAAAAGGAAATTTTAGGATATTTATGGATAATTAATTTTCCTAATTTTAAAAATATGATTTTTTTAATTAATTCAATTTTAATTCTAACATAATTTGTAAACATAACGGATTTATTATGTTAGAATATTTTTTTAGTTAGAATCATGCTCTTTTAGAATTTTATTTTATTAGAATATTATTGAATAATAACAAAGTTATGGAATCCGAGTTTGAAAAATAACTACATTCTAACATATTCTGTCAGAATAACATAATGTCAATCATAACCTACTAAATACATTCTGAAAAAAATACACAAAATAGATTCTTGAACTAATAATATACCAAATAATTAATTGTGATTCTTTGAATAATAACAACATGCTGAAAGAATAACAACATTTTTAAAAAATAACAACAATCTTAAACATTGAGTGTGATCATTCTTTAATTCATTCTTCAAACCTTTCCCATCAATTCTTCAAGCCATTCTTCAAACCATTTCTATCACAAATTATGTTAGAATGCAACAGTAAAATTCTGTTAGAATACATTATAAACGTATAAATATTAAAATTTTATCAAAATAAAACAGTAAAATTCTAGCAGAATTTATTATCAACATATAAATAGTTAACCAAAACCATAATAGGAAGACATGAATAAAAAAAATTAACAAATTTTTATCCTCTCAATTCATTAACAATCAAATGAATAACAGATATCTAAACATTCTAAAGTATGTATAAATGTATTCTCACAACATTACTAGCATAACATGTTTTATGTAATATTTATATTCTCATAGAATGAACATGTGTTTGCATTCTGATATGAAAAAAAATCCCCAACATAACCCTCTTCATGCAAATTCTGACAGAATGTCAGCGTAACCCTTATCATCAAAGACAAGTTTAGAACAATCAAATATCAAGAACAAATGGAAAATCAAGAACCATCTATCATTAAAATAAAATCAAATAGTCTTGGATTCGCCTTCAACTTACCTTCGCATAATTAAAATAAAATTAGTGCACTTAAAACACGAACAAATTGACCCTTGTTAGGGAAACAATAGAAGAAATCCAAATATTGGTGATACCGTTTGTCGAGAAATTCGGCGAGGAATTCTAACCTATCAAGGGTTTTATTAACCCCGAAAGAAACCCAAATATTGGCTTCAAAGACCTGATCTTTTAAAGAGGAATCGATATTCAGAGATAATCGGAAATTACCGTAAATCAGTTTGCGGCAAACAATGGATTTTGCTTGTTGGTTTGTGGAAAGCCCGTGAGCGGATGATGACTTGTATCTTAGGTGTTCGTGATACGTTTGTTTGCAGTCACTCTGACGTTTCCTCTTCCGCCCCAATTTTATCATCAAACCACCTTATGTGACATCCCCAAAATCACGGCCAGAAAAGACCGATTTTGTTTATGCTTTATAAAAATCAGAGTACTTCATTTTATAAAAAGGTTGCGGAATTTGTTCCCAGAAAAACATGGTAAATACGTTATTAAAACATTTTCGAAGAAACGTATTTATTTCATTTTAAAACATTTGGGATGTCATCGTTAATACAGGAACATAAGCATAAACAGAACTTACAATTATTCACACTAGTGGTCTACATCTCTTTAAATCTCTCAGTGTAATGTCACTTCATATCAACACCTGTGATATAAATAAACTGAGTGGGTCAGGTTGGGAAACCTGGTGAGCACATAGGGATTTCAATCCCACAATGTTATACCATATATATAGTTTAAAATTCACAAAATATACAATTTCACCATACATATATATATATAAACAACTCTTATCCCACCCCGTCGATCCTCGCAACGAGGCTATCCATACTCTCGGACCTAAGATTAGTCGTTTTACCTACTCCATACTCTCGGATCAGAAATGAACGAATTTACCAAATCCATACTCTCGGATTAAAGATGAATGATTATGCCTAATCCATACTCTCGGACTAGGGACAATAGCTAATCCATACTCTCGGATTAACGACGAATGATTATGCCTAATCCATATTCTCGGACTAGGGACAATGACTATGTCTAATCCATACTCCCGGATAAGTGACATATACTAACTTCTATTCTCTGAGTTTAACTCACTTGTACTCGTAAGAATATACTACCCAATATTCCTCATATTTAATTTAGGTCTACTCTTTATCCTAAATTATCAAATATAATCAGGTATGTTCTTTAACACGAATTTCAAGCAACATCAATTAACTCGCACATAAACATATAATTAATACTTCAATCAATACTTGTATTAAAATCATGTTCATGAAAGGGACTATGCACTCACCTGAGAAGGTGGTGACTCGGTACTCGGACAGCGCTTCGTTTACTTTAAAATAATTTCCTTCGACGAAACCTAGTATTATCACCAATAGATTTTAGTCTATTATTCGCCGAGACTAATTAATAGTCTAGCTATTATTACTATTATATAAGCGTTAAAAAAATACTTATATAACCCATAATAATAGCCCAAGTATTTATTATATGTTCTTAATAACGTTAATATAATTAAATAAAAACTATATTAAAAATAGCGTAGGCGTAGCTCACTTACAGCGGGTTTTATAGAAAACCAGGCTTTGCTTGGAGCAGCGTTTCCGAGCCGAAAAGCTCTTCTTCTCGGAGCCGTCGAGCACTCCGGGGCTTCCGCCTCGTGCTAGGGAGGTTCCCTAGGCTTTTCGGGGGATTTCGGGGCTAGAGAGAGGTTCTAGAGAGAGAGTAAAGAGAAGAAAGAATGGGAAAGGTGTGAAGAAAATGAGGGTGGGAGAGGTGGTATTTATAGGGTGAAAATGGCTGAACTTGGTGCCACATGTCACCATCTAGTGGCAAGACTTGGGGAGAAAGCAATGGCCAAGATTGTGCCACATCACCCATTTTCGCACAACACACTTCCGACTTCTAAAATCCGTAACTTTCACATACGACCTCCGTTTTTGACGTTCTTTATATCCACGCGTAGGTAAAAATAATATCTACAACTTTCATTTTGACTCCGTCGGCTAATTCTCGACCGATCTTAAATTTAACAGTACGAGGCGTTTAGACTGTTAAATGACCGCGAAGAATTCGTAACTCCTTCATACGGACTCCGTTTTCGTCTGTCTTTTTACCGTTGAGTTCCTATTAATGAGATCTTCAACTCTCATTTATTTCACGTAAGCCAAAAACCGCTCGAACTAAAATTCGAGTTTCGGGCTGTACACTGCTAAGCCGAATCTTAGAAAAATCATAACTTCCTCATACGAAGTCAGATTTGGGCGTTCTTTTTATCGACGCTCTTAGTTTAACATATTCTACGACTTTTGTTTAGATTGCTAAGGCTAAAAAGTCTTCTATCGTAAATTCACTATTTACGTCTTCCGGTGCCGTGCCGGTTTTGCCGTAAAACTTCGGCGGGCCATAACTTCTTCGTTATAACTCGGATTTCGGCGTTCTTTATATGTACGGAAACCTTGTGACATATTCTAAAACTTGGTTAAGACTATTCATTCTAAATAATCTTTTGTCGAAAAGTCATTTTTGACCCCTATTGCCTCTAAATTGACTAGCCCGGATCTGCGGGCGTTACAATTATCTCCCCCTTAGGATGATTACGTCCCGGAATCATCAACGAAACAAGGATCGTATAATGACTCCATACGTCATCTCTTCATCCTAGGTAATAATTATAACTTCTTTATTCCTTCAAGTCTATCTCTTAGACTTATTGACTGTAAGCAGTACTTGATCGTGCACCTGCTCTCTACCTCATATTAGACTCCAAATTATGACCTATCATCATGTGATGTACGTTTAGACTCAGGTCTCTTAAATTCTAAAACAGACTAAGCCTTCCTTCATGTTCTAATGTGATATAATCATACTTTAACATGTAGCATTTCTAGCTACCAACGAGCGCGATACTTCTATTGATCGCTTTGATTTTTAATCGTTTGGTTTAAGTCGGACGCTATATCAAACTTGGTTCTCTGAACCACGTAACCTACTCATCGTAGTCGGACTCAAGGTGATATGACCACTAGGGTCGGGATAACAACAA